CTCTCTGGGCAGCCTGTGCCAGGGCTTGGCACCCTTACAGGAAGTTTTTCCTTATATGCAGGTGGAACTTCTAATTTGTGCCCATTGCCCCTTGTCTTTTCACTGGATACCACTGAAAAGAGATAAAGTTTATGTGAAAACTGTTTCAGTTAAGCTTGTTTTAGCTGCTTGTGAACACCATTTGACTGTTTGCCTGTTCTCCACTCAGATTCATGTCCTGGAAGACAGGCTCAAACGTTATGAGAAGAAGATGTACATGACCTCAGTTGGAACACCATACAGAGGTAAGTACACAGGCTTCCTCACCATTTTCTCATTTGTTTGAGGGATGTACTTTGCTTTAGACAATGTGTTCAAGTGTCAGTCTCTTTAAAACACTTGTATATCTTTATGGCATCTTATCCTTGTTTTGTCTTGTCTGTTACAATAGAACTGGAGTGTGATTTCAGATGAGCAAATCACACAGCATCTTCTTTGATGTCTGGTTTTATGTCATACAGTTAACAAGAGCTCTATGTCAGAGTTCTTATCCTTCCTGTATCCCCAAGAGGAGTAGTATAGGCAGTGGCACTCCAAAGTGGGTGGGAAGGAATTATCCATTTGTCTTAGCTAGTTGAATATTCATTTAAAATGAATAAAAATGACTCTTTAAAATTCTTAACAGTACAAATACAGGTTTTTATGGATGTTTCTTCTGTTACATATCTGGGCATTTACTCTTCTTGGGATTAGAGTTCCTTTGCAAGATCTCCTGCTCTGACACAGTCATATAATAAAATCCTGTTTCCAGTTGTAACCTTTTGTGTTGTGTCCTTGAAAGTGTGTTTGGAACTGGAGCCCCCTGGCATTTTGTGCCACTAGCAGTCTCATTGCTACTCAACTCGTGGGTGCAGGGAACAGAGGTCTGCACCTCCAGCATGCCTCAGGCAGGGACTGAAGGCCCCAGGCTGAGCTGAGACATGTCCCCTGAGCACTTGGCAGGAGAATGGTGGAGGTGGAGGTCCTCCCACAGGAGGCCAGTCCCAGCCACTGAGGCCTATGAGCACCCCCAATACCCTGGCAGAAGCAGACCTGCATTGCTCATATGCTCTCCTTGAGACATCGATGGTGGGCCACTTTGGAGACAACAGTATTGGTCCAGGGGGATGTTCTGTCTGAGGGAGCACTGCTGGTCTCAGGCTCTTGTGTTGTAGCATGTTTTTCCCAAGGGAAGCAGGTCAGACATTTCTGGAAGGAGATAAAAGAAATCCCCAGGGAAATGAACAGGTATTGCTCACCTCCAAAAGATTTGGAGCCATTTGTTGAGGAGCACATCCTGCTGCAGAGTGAGAGCTTGACCTTTGAGCCTCACTAGTGTCAGAGGTGGGGGCTTTTGCCATCCCCATCCATGTGCCCTGGCAGTGGGTTCCAGGGAGGAGAGATCAGCAGCTCCCTCTCCACTTCCCCTCCTTGGGAAGCTGCAGAGAGCAGGGAGGTCGCCTCTCAGCCTCCTCCCCTCCAAACCAGACAGACCCTGTGTCCTCAGCTGCCCCCCAGAGGCCACGCTGCCAGCCCCTTCACCAGCTTTGGTGGCCTCCTCAGGCCGCGTCCAGGACCTTCACACACTTTTTGAAGGCAGGGCCCAGAGCCACTGGCAGGGCTGGAGGCGGGGCCG